TGCACATGGAAAGGGGAAAGCAGAATTAAATCATGCATTCCATTGCATAGTCTCCTGTGGAATCCCTATAAACAGGCAACTTCACGACGGTGTTCAAGCCTCTTAACACGCTTTTCAGCTGAATCCAAGGGAACTAGTTGGTATTTAGCAAAACCATCTCTTGGGTGCAGCAGCAAGGTGTGGATACACGACCGGAAACTGTCCCAAAAGTATTGAAATAAACAAGATGCTGTTTAAACTAAGTTGTTTCTGTCTGAGCCTAAGCACAACAGTTTTGATGATTGCATCAACAATTTTAGGCAAATATGTTATGATTGATTATTATCAAGACATGACATGTAATCTTGACATTTTTTTTTTCAGTGTTCTTTCTATTACTAGGGCGCACTAATGCGAGTCTCGTCGCGCGACGAAGCGTGTCGACGCGCGTTATACTTAGTTGAAAAACAGGACGCGATGCGACGCTTCGACTCTGCGCCAGTGTGAGTTGAACCTTAAAATGTATACCCGTAACGAATTGCATTAAATCTAATTATTTAAATTGTTATATTTTTAACAAGAATAATATATTTGCTAAACATTTTATGACCTCCTAAAAATTCTAATTTCAATTTCGCTACTCGTATACATTTCATTACAAGCAAATATTATTAAAGTAAAGTTTGCCACATGCAATAAATATTAAAAATATAGAAGGTAATCACATTTCTGGAGGCTGAACAGATAACATGCCTCCCAGGACACATCGGCGCGTCCCCAGATCGCTTCGGACACATGTCTGAAGTACACATAGGCATTGTCCTTTTTAACGTGAGCGAACTCACACCAACTTTTTATACAACAGATCGTCCCTTTTTTAAACTAAAGGGAGATTTTTAACTATTTTATTACATTTCGTAGCTTTATAGATTGATACAATCATTTTAAATATATTTCATTGGTATGTTCTGACTGGGAATTTAAAATTCTGTCAATAATCACGTCAAATGTAGTCAACTTCACGTCAAAATTGTTTAATAATTTTTTTTTAAACAAATTCCTCAAGGAGTTTTACTGGAAGCACATGGATGGTTGATACATCAAGTCTGATTTAAAGGTGGCTTCCCATTATATGGATGTCAATACGCATAGCCGACGATTATGAACAGCCACCATACCGAAGCTCTAACAACAGAGAACGTCCATATGCGTGGTTGCGTGTCTCGGAGATCTTTTGTCATTCCAAAATGTCAATTGAAGTGAAGGAGAACGTATAGTTGCAGCTTTTGTGGGGTATTATATCATTCAATAATAATTAACATATACCTATGTGTTTAAGTGATAACAACGTAAAAAACCATGCTGGTGATGGATGTCTCGCACCTAGGCCATCGAGCCCGGGTTTACCCGGTCCTGAAAAACCCGAGTTTTCCCAGTTCTGATGGTTACAAAGAAACCCGGGTTTAAAAATCCGGGTTTTTCGAGTATTTTACTTAATTTTTTTTTATTTATTATGCATAAACTACTTCGAATACAATAGTAAATGTAATAAAAACAAGCTTAGATAAATAATTACGTGTAAAGAAGCGTAGTTGCAACATTTCTTCCCTTCCAAACAACCACGAAAACAAGCAATGCGTAAAAAGTAACGCTCTCTCTCACGCCATTTTGTTGTGTCGCCGAAGTAATTATTCACATAAAGAAACGAATTTTATCAATGTTAAGATAATTTGTGATACCAAAAATATGTTTTTTGAAGATATTATTAGCACTTAAAAAGTGCAATAACTGATTGATACCAAAATGATATAATAATTAATGGTGAAACTGATCTCTGGAAGTCTATGATTAAAACACACTGAAACTGTGTTCCTATACTGATTTTGTACAAAATCAGTATAGGAACAGTTTCTTTTTTTTTTGATAAGTATAACAAAAAGATCGGAAAGCTCGAAAAAACCCGGTCTACCCGGGTTTTCGGATCATAGTATAGTTTCCAAAATTGATCCTGGTTTCGATGCCCTACTCGCACCTTAAAGTTCCGGCTCGTGGTCGATATATTACTATGGACGCCTCCGCTCGAAAGACGAAACTCTTCGAGTGCGTGGTAAATAATAATATTACATAGGAAATTACATAGAAAGAAACATTTTTATCCGATCTAATCGCGTATATTTATTTTAGCAAACAAACCAACGTACGGGTCCTTTATAAATTTTATGAATGAACGAAACGTTGGTTTGTTTGAAAAACCAAACATACGCGATTAAGATCCGAAAAACTAGTAGCGTGTAACAATCGCGAGAATAATATAACATTGCAGATCGTTGGAAGATAATACTTTTGATGGCCGCTGCTGTAGCTTCTTATCTACTTAATGGTGCACCTATCCCAACAAAGACTAGTAACAATATGATTTAGGCATCTTTATCTCCCATATTTAGTTCTCCAGTTTCTTGGCTCTTTGTTAAAGATCTTAATTTCAATCTGTCACATCCCTTCATGAGTATGTTAGTAATACATACCACTTTCAATAAAATCCTCCTTCTGTTATTTTACCAAACAGCCATATTTATTTGTTTACTAACAACATGCTCCCCGAATTTTGTGAAAAAAAAACAAAATTTCAAAAAAATAAAGCAATTTTGTGAAAAAAAGAAAGAAAAAACAAAATAAAAACTAAACAAGTCCAAAAATTAAGTTGACGTAGTGTTCATTGGAGGTATTTTGCAGGTCTCAAAATCTATTTGAATTAAAATTCTGCTACAAAAAATAAAATGCTTATGTAACGCTGCCCTGATAAAAGTTAAGATTATTACGCTTCAATAAACTGTTTTATACAATATCCACTTGTAAATTGTCTTGCCTTTCTGTCCTGGGGGCGGTAGCCAGGGGGTAAAAAGATGTCAGGCGTATGGTATTTTCTCCTGGGATCGTCCGGCGGCAGGTAGCCAACACAGGACGGAATGCCACACGACATAACATTCCTTTTGGCTCCGAGCGCCCGGCAGTAGAAATCTACAAGAAATTTTATTTATTATTAAGATATACCATATTTATTAGATATGCCATCGTCTCACTACACTATTACATGGATGGAAAGTTACTATGAGGTCGACGATAACGCATGCGGACCTAAACAATGCCTATACACTCTCTTCTTGAAAAGACCCAATGTATTCCGTTCTGGGAACAAATCTAAAAGCAGGGACTTCCACTCCATAGCCTTTCGCCATGCAAATAAGGAAACGAAACTCTTCGTGCGAATCCTCAGAATACCCACCACATAGGGGAGGAACTCAAGCCTACGTCTAGTCCCCCGATGATGAAAAGAGGAAGGCGGAATTAAATCGTGCAATTCCTTCGCACACTCTACATTTACATATCAATTTTTATTCTACTTTTCTGATTTGATTCAATTGAGAACACAAAAAAATAAAGACCACATTTAAATAGAATTATATATACCGCAATTCCATACGTTATTCACCGCACTCCAGTGTTTTGCGTTAATCCGTCATGTTGAACTTAAACTGCATAAATCACAGCACCAGTTAATGTTTATATGAATAATTATCATATATTATTACCTGGCTATGGCTTTAAAGTTGACCTACCATTTAATTAGTGATAATTGTTCAATGAATAATTCTGAAAAATTTAAAATCTATATTGCAACGCCTTTTGAAGGTTGGCTCTAAAGACTACAGTGTTGGTATAGAGCCAACCAAGATAACAATGATCCTGCCTTCGGAGTTCAGCATTTGAGACGACACGTCTAAATGACTTACAAATGGTTATTTTTTTAATATTAATGGCTTTGCCTTCGTATTTAGACAATGAAAGTGTTGGGAAAGATTTTTTTTATGACACTGTGTTGACAGGTCATTGACATTTAATACCATAAATGAAGCCATCAGTGCAAAAGTAGTGTAACCCACAATATTACTGATGCTAAAGTGCACAATTACTTCATATTTCGATTATTATTATCAGGAATAAAAAAATACTAGTTAAATATTTTTTAGATGCTGTTTTCATATATATTATTCAAATATTATTATTTTTTACACATGAGAATAGAATCCAAATATAAAGCAATTATGTACTTCAGTATCATAATTTAAATTAATAGGTATTGTAGAAAAAATTAAACGTGGGTTACATCCTATGGTTACATCACTTTTACGCTGGTAGCTTCAATTACAGGTACTGTACAATGCAATATATAATATTTATTATATATTTATAACATGTTTATTTACATCTCATAATTCCTCGCCTGATCCCTTTTTCACTTTGTCTCCAACTTTCAAATCCCGTTTCCAAATTACCTACATTCCATGATATTATAAAAGGTTCCCCTAACTAACTTGACTAACTTGTTTTTAAAACTAAAAACAAGTTAGTCAATACACTTTATAAGCGGCTAAAACGCTTACCGCGAAAATATACTACAGAGAAGCAAATATGGTTAAAAAGTAAAATGGGCTGAGCATCGACCACAATAAATAGGCTTACACGCGTAAGTTGAATACTATTTTTATACACACCTACATATTTGGAATATTTGCGTGCACTCGATTTTCCTTATATTTTTCAATCTAATTGGATTATAATATAACATTTTTTTATAGTATCTAGTGACGGGACGAATAAGTCGTGCGCCTGATGATAAGCTACACGCCTGTCCATAACAGTTGCAGTTCAGAGCTTTAAACCGCAAAGATCTGACGGGGCACTGCCACTGCGCTCGTCACCTTGAGACGCAAGTTGATAAATCGCATGTGCCTGTAATTTCACCAGCACCTTTACCTTTCAAAACCGGAACTCAGTGTTGCTGACATTACTGCTTGACGACAGAAATAGGTAAGGTGGCAGTACTACCCTGGACGAACTCTTTCACAAGGAGCTCTACCATAGCTCTATTGCTGCTAACATATTAATAACATCGCTATTTAAAAAATCATGGTTGTGCCCTCTACACGATTAAATATTTTAAGAAACATTTAATTTAATTCGTGTAGGACATTAACTCGTGTAGAAATAGATGGTTGATGTGTAACATACCAATGGATGGTTGATGTGTAACAACCACCAAATTTTTTTAAATTATTTTTAATTTAAGTTTGCACTGTTTTTTACAGTCATTAAAACCCATCGAGTCTTATTAAGTTTTCGCGATTGTTACACATTGGAAATGAAACTATTTTACATGATCTAAATCGTGTATAATAAATTTGGAGAATTCGAAGCTAGTAAAAGTATTAATTTACTGTTCTGCGAACCCAGTCAAGGTTCAATCTTGCAAAATAGCTGCGCTCGTAGATGTTGAATATTTTTTTCATGCAATTTAATTTTGTCATTGGTTCGCAGGATAGCAAGTGAATTTAGTTCCATTTTGAGTAAATCGCGCATATTTGTTTTTTTTTCAAACAAATGAACGTTTCAGGCCCGTTACGGGTCTTTAAGTCACGGTTGACTAATTTTCAGTCTAAGAATAGTTTCATTTAAAACTGTTTATCTTGTTCCATTTATTTACTTCTTGTTTCTTAGACAGTATGTGAATATTTGTTTTTCTGGCAAATACATTCCTTCTGTTGATATGTGTAAATACTTCACAAAACCTCGTTTTAACTGTTTTTAAAAGGTGTTTAATTGTGTGTCTAAAAGTGCAATTGCACTGACCTACCAACAAAATTCTTTGGTAGGTCAATGTGCAGTTATATAATCGTTTTATTTATGTCCTTTAGGTAACATGTTCTTGTGTTTGTGCCCATTCACAACTATTTAATTTTAACAGATAACACAAACTTTGCTCAGGCTATAAATAATAAATCAGTCGGTAGAGCACTACGGGTATTTACTGTTAACTAACGGTGCACAGACATTCACAGAAACTACGAAGTAAAAGGGAACGCCATGTACTGATACAGTAGAAAAAACTGGCGCACATGAAAACTATCCAATGTGGGTGTGGAGGGGCACTGCTGTACACACCTACATTGTTGTATTCAAGAATAGGGAACTGTATGAAGAGTTGATTCCTTTCTGCCTCGACTTGTGTCATTTGATGGCGGAATATGCACATATTCCGTCGGTGTAAGACATACGTCCTTTACGCGGTCACTCTCTCGGCACTTATACGAATTAATTTCCTCATTAAAAAGCTATTTAGTTAATATGCCTAAATCGAAACCTGTGATCTATGACCATGGACTCCCTTCTTTTTATATAATATCAAGTGATGGGATAGTACATTTCGTGCGCCTGGTGTTAAACGACACGTCTGTCCATAACAATTAATTGCAGTGCCACTCAAAGCTACCAATCGCCAAGGGCTGAGGGGCACTGACACTGCGCCTGTCACCCTGAGACCTAAGTTGACAAGTCCCATGTGCCTGTAATTTTACCAGCACCGTTACCCTTCAAAACCAGTACGTAGTAATGCTTACATTACTGCTTGGCGGCAGAAATAGGTAACGTGGCTACCGTGGCTACCGTACATGTCTATTTCACTCGAGGAACTTTTTTACAAGGATCTCTACTACTACTTACATCAGCACCGAAAACTCCGCAATAAACCTGGTTGTGTAGTTCCATAACATTTCTTCCATTTTTCCTGAATCAAACTCCTCTGGAAAGTATGGTAAACAGAAAAAAATTGCTCCTTTTGAAATTACGCTTCACGCTACGGGGTCAACTAGTTCATTCCCCATTGATTTTATATCTGAATTTGCAAACTTGCAAATGGACAACATACAAATTCAAAAATGTCGCTTAGCTCTGTTCGCCTTAAGTCCACGATGGGGTATACATAATGTGTACGTATATATTTAAGTCACATTAAAAATAATTCGAGTGCCATTTTCGAATCTTTTCTATAATAGTTTTGAGGAAGTTGACCAATGTGTTTGTTAATCTATTTCATTCTTGTATTGTACGCGATTTAACTTGCTCTTGTAGAATAATGATCCCCCAGGGCAGTTTCTTTTGCTTTTTTTTAGCGCGTTGTAACCAACGCATAATTTAAAAGCAGTTGCAGAAACAGCTATGCGTTCTTAGTTCGAGTATTCGCCAGTTTCCGTAAAACTGTAATGACATTTTTCAACAATGATGAGACCAACGATGAACTTCTTTGACGCCAATATTACATACAGATTGTTGTGTCAGGTTAATGATTTCTCTGGAATAAATAATTAACGACCAAGAACATTAAATTCTATGTTATTAATGGTTTTTTAATAAGCAAGTAAGCTTGTGTGGGTGGACACAACGTCTTTTTATTGAGTATGAACAATTTAGGAAAACAGTAGCTTTATCAAAATCTTGAAAGTATATTCAAAATGAACATTCATTACAATACTTGTGTAAGTAGAATTTAATATTTTAGTAAGTATTAACAAACAATGCTCTTGTCTCTAGGTGACAATGATATACTATAGTACAGTGCAAAAAATAACTTAAATTGTTGTGGATTATTTTTTTTTATTACAAATCTAATTAAGTATACAATGCGGAACATTACATATTACATTTAAAATTATTACATAACGCTATTTATTATTTTATATCACATTTATAGCACTAATTTTCGATAGACTAGTTTTGCAGTCAGCACAGACTAATGACTTCAGATTTAGCTACCGCTACCGCTGATTCAGCGTAGCAAAGTAAATCTTGCCACCTTTTTGCGACTACTTTTATTCTGAAATATTATCAAGAATCCAGTCCATAAAATGTGACACTCTCGTGTAGACCCCAGGGTATCCACCGGTACCGCATCTTTTGGTGCCGTAGGAGACAATACCATGCTGAATAATGCCTATCTTGCCAGACCTGACGTGGCCAATGCCCGTAAGAGGACCTCCTGAATCTCCGCCACAGGAGTCTTTATCTTCCACTCCACCAGCGCACAATTGACGATCGTATATTCTAGGGTTCCTGAAAATGAAAATGTATTAATAATTATCAACTTTTTTCAGCTTTAAAAATTGTTGTCATGTCCGTCACAAGTAAAAGCCCTAAAATAATACAGTATGTTTTTAAAAGACTGCCCACTTATTTTCCTTTTTTATTTTACGTGTGGCGCACTATAAGTTTCCGGAATGAATAGGAAAAAAATACTATAAATGATCAGAAATGAATTTATTGTTTCTCAAATATTCTCCGTTAGCGGTAATGCACTTTTTCATACGAATGAACCAATTTTGAAAACATTTATACTACTCCTCCGTGACAATCTCTAAAAACATATTTTTCGTACTCTTCGGCAGCCTCTTCAGGTGATGAAAATCGTTGACCGCGTAACTGGTTCTTAATTTTTGGAAATAAATAAAAGTTACGGCACCTTGTAAATAAAGGTTACAAGGTGCGGGTCGGGACTGTGCGCGGGATGGCTGAAAAATTGGAAAACGGCATGGAAAAATTCATTTGTCTGTCTGGCCGTGTGAGAACTGGCATTATCGTGGTGCAAGATGATACGGCGTTTACGGTTATTTTTACGGAGTTTGTCAATAACTTCTGGCAAACAAATGGTCGTATACCAATCACTATTCACGATACAACGATTGTCCAAAGCAACAGTAGCCACGTGTCCAGTTTTATTAAAAATTGGTTGGTTTCGGCTCATCTCGAAAGACCCATACGCTCGATTGCTGCTTTGTTTTGGGATCGTAACTATAAATCCATGTTTCATCACCTGTTACTATGTACACACCAAATTTGACGCCTCTTCATTGAATCTGGTATGCACCAAGTGACGCGATCCGTTTTTTGAGCCTCAGTCAAATTGTGTGGGATTCACCGGGAGCTCAGCTTTTTCACACCCAAATGTTTGTCTAGTATTGATTATATTTGACTCATGCCTATGCCTAAAGATGTCCAATTCCCATGGTATGTCACATGCCTGTCTGTTTTGCTCATACGGCGCTCAGCATCGACGTTTTTGTTGTTCACAGCAGTGGACGGGCGACCATCACGAAATACGTCACTGAAATTCACATGACCGCGTTTGAATTCTGCAAACCAGCTATAAATAGTCGTCTGGCATAGTCCTTCTTCGCTAAAAACAGTTTGAAGCCGAGCGAAGCTCCGCTGAGCTGTAAAATTGCACTTAAAGTCGTAGAAAATCATACTACGAAAAATTTCACGAGTTAAATCCATGGTGATGTAGACAACCAATTTCTAAAATGACGCCACAATGCGAAAAACAAGTGACAGTCAGATGAAATGAAAAATGAAATAAACTATTCTATAGCCAAAGAGTTCCATTTTCAAATGTTGTAATTACTTTTTAAATATTGTTTATGTAAGTGGCTAGTTCCGGAAACTTATAGTGCGCCTTATGTATTTATTTATTTTTGCAACTTATACTAACAGTATTTATAATTACACATGTTAGTCATAGTCATATAAGAGTTCAGTCGATCACTGGCCAAAAGCAAGCTGTGGAACTTGGACCACAGTTGGGTGGTGACCGTCTCCAAATAGTAACCAGCGGATGTTAGAAATTTTGATTCAGTGTTACTCATATTAATCTTATTCAGGGACTCGATCAACGCTAGGGTTTCGTAGAAGTGTCCTCGTTAGTGTCTTCAAGCGCGTTAAATGAAGAGTGAAGAGTGCGCTGCGCTGACGTTAAGACATAACGTCATAATGCCGAGATTAAAAAAGGAATTTGAACCATCTGTTGGTTCAAATTTCAAAAAAAAAATTTTAACACTAAGATTCTTTTATCGAACCCTTCCAAAAATGCATTTAAATACATCTGTATTTAAATGTCTAATTAAAAAATGAAAAATCAGTGCAAAATGCCTTTTTCATTGGTTTGTTTTAATTTCGTACTAATGTATGTACAGTTAAGTACGGTCGAGTGTTTCGAGATTGTTGTTGTGGTCTTGTTCTTCGTACTGCATTTGACTCTTTTTTTATTAAATTGATTTAGTTAATGTTAAGCAGTTACAATTTTTCAATTTTTAACCGTCCATTTTCTTTAAATTCGAGTTTTTCCAATGATATTTGAGTAAGGTTTGACAAAGTGGATCTTAATTTAATTGTCAATTTATGTCCAATTCTTATTTATTTAAATGTAAACGTTTTATATTGTTCTGGTTAATGTACGGACAACGGCACATCTTACTACACATTTTTGTTCCAAAATCGCCTCCAGTGCGACGGAACAAGATACGTCAATGTGTAGCTTGATGTGCTGGCGTGTGTACTTCTGTGTACTATACACACAGGAGCATATTAGTTAAACTGACGCTATGGTATCAGGGATATGTTTACTAGTAATTAGTTACCTCGCATCTTGTTGAAAAAGTCGTTAATGGTCGTACTGGAACTTTAACGAATTTGGTCTTATAATTTTTATTTTATTTAATATTACGTTATAATATATGGCTTACCAACTAAATACACACAAATACATTAAATATAAAAACGAAACATTTAAAATTAGTATTATGCATGCATTTAAGTGTAAAGATAAGCGCTGCATTACATAAATGTACTATTTTGGAAGCACGAGAGTACTATGACCAGTCTGTCTATATATAACTAGATCAAATCAAAGAAAAATTCCTTCGATCCGGCTGGATTCAAACCAGAGCCTTCAGCGTACCGTGCTTGACGTTTTCGCAACTGAGCTTCGGAACGCACAAGCAGACCTTACGTTTTTTTTCCATGTGCTTGTTGCAGATCTCTGTGTTTGATTTTAACATACTTTTTTGCCGTAACGTCATCTGTGAGAAATCTATGAAATCAAATTTGGTCTTACCCATTATAAGCATCTTGACATTTCTTATTAGATACAATAGGTAGCTCTACTTTAAGCAACACTGAAGACTGGAGACCATCCTCTGTTGCTCCCCATCCAGCTACCGTACCCTTCTGTTTTTCAAAAGTATTAGCTATTAGTTCTGGTGTGTCCGGCAAACATATTGGTTTCATGTTCTCTGAAACAAGAAACATCAAAAAAATAACTAAAGTATGTGAGAAACTGCAGAGTCGATTTCTAAACTTAATATAATATACTAACCCAACGTAAAGTCTGCCGGTTCTGCTAGCCTAATCAAGGCTATATCATCGTACAAGTTTTGGGGGCTGTAACCAGGATGAGCAATAACTTTCTCTATTGAGACATTCTGCAAAAACCAAGATAAAAGTTTGTAGTACAAGTGAACTGTCGAGGACTCTCTACACAGTTTTGTATGTAACAATGTTATACGTGGGGCGCACTATAAGTTTCCGGAATGAATAAGAAAAAAATGACGCCACAATGTAAAAACCAGTGACAGTCAGATGAAACCGTTCTATTTTCAAATGTTGTAATTACTTTTTAAATATTGTTTATGTAAGTGGCCAGTTCTGGAAACTTACAGTGCGCCCTATGTAGTATCACTGTAATACCCGAACGTTTGGTGCGCAGTGCAACTCTCCGTCGATTCTCTCGCAATCCGGATCTTTTGTGATGTCGTATTCTCCCAGTACAACACCTGACAACTTTAGCCTGTTTCCCAGGAACGCAACGCAATGAGCTGCTGTCAAAACGTATCGTTCCGTGATGAGAGTGCCTCCACAGCTCAACCTTGAACCACGGGCTGCAAAAATATTAAGATTACGTAAAAAATGTATCTGGTTTACAACGAATATAATTTAACGTCTTTTATCCAATCAATTTACCTATTGATGACTAATTTTGAGGTACGTTTTGTTAATTGAAGTCGTTTTTCTCAGAAACGATCACTCAAAATGGTAACAACATATTTTCCCCCAAAATAATACCACCTCATGTGGCGTGAACCAATACTAACTTTGCTGTAGCTAGACAAGGTTTGTATAATTATAATAATACTGAGCACAAATGTTTTTTATCGACAATATTAATTAGTAGACCATGTAAGTAGGTACTTACGTGAATCATAAGCAATTAGCACCATCCATGGCATTTCATAAAGTGCCGCCTTATCGCCGCCCAAAATCCTGAAGTCGTCAGAAAATGGTCCACATTTTCCAGGCAGAAGAGCTAGATTCTTATGTCCTTGTATATCAGGCAGGGAACCGGTATTGATATGAGTTGAGATACTTGGGTTTGGTTTTCTTGTTACTGGTTTATTTTGGTTTGAATTCCAGGGATTTTGTGTTACTGATTGGGTATTTGAATTAGACCAGTCGTTAACTAAAGACCCATCAACTCCCATAGTATGAGTTCCAGATGTGGAGTCGGGATAGTTAGCTATGTCCCGATTGTTGTTCGTAAAAGGGGCTGCACAACATACCTGTAATTCCAGTACAGTATAATTTGTTTTATATGCTCAATAATAGCTTTTTGTGTTATTTCTTGAATATACCTTAGAATAGTTTCATGAAATAATAATCTCAGTACAGAGTACTTTAACAAACCGACCTCAAAAGTCATTCATAGGGGAGTTTGCCGGTTCAAAACAGCCATCGATAGGAAAGAAACGATGTAGCTGCAGTAATAGATAAGAGAAATAAAAGTAATTAGATAGATAATTAGAAGCCTGAGGGGCAAAGTATTTTGAAGGAACATACTAAAGGGTCAAATGACTGAAAGCCGCAAGCGAGTTCTTGCAACTTCATTCTGACTCGAGATGGCATCGGAGATCCAGCATTCTCAATTTCCGTGACGAGAGGTTTACATTCCGCCAGCAGCTTGCAGGTACCAGGTCTTTTATCTGCTACACAGCTGTCACCTGGATAAACTGGAATCGTCATCTTCATTAGTCCGCTTGATTGAGCATAGGAAAACTTTGCGCTTTTTTCGACTACTGTCCAGCGCCAGATTTTTGTTTTACTTTTCTATTTTTTCGTTTTGTCACATAATAGTAGTGTTAGAGGAGTAGTGAGGCCGCTTGCCTATATCATTCGATTTTAGTTTCGTTTACAAATTATAACTTTCTTTAAAGGTACCAACTATTTTAGAACACTTTACTCCCAAAAACAATAAACCAGAATATTTATCGTGGTGCATGGCGTCAAGCCTTATATTGACTAAAATAATGACCTAAAAACAAATTCGACATACAAATTCAATTTACATGTACCACATTAGATAAAAACGACATCAGACACGTATTAAACGTTCTAGTTTCGAGTAAATTGCTCCTAAATTCGTTTTCAGACCTTCCCGTTCCCACCTTAACTTCCATGATTCCGATTAACCCGTTTAAAGATTTGCTGATAAACGATTTATTTCAAATAAAATATATGCGCTTATAGTTAACTAGTTTTGTAACTGGTTATAATATAAAACCGAGGTGGTGCAAATGATTAAGGAAAAATCTTCAAAACTTAAATTATGTGTTGATTATTAATGTATTATTTATTTTAAACTTACATTTATAGTTTATTATTTTATATGTTCCAGGCTTCGTCGTTATAAATACAATTATAAGTACCTACATAAGACCTGCATAATGTGTACAGTGCGAACCAAACCAATACATTATTATGTTCTCTGTAAAGTCAATTTGATATAATGAAAATCATAGCACTAAATCTTTTAAACCATTTTATATTAGAATGTATGTATGTATGTACAAACCTCCTTTTTTAATTAAAAAACAGGAAATTAAACATATTTTTCAAATTTAAATCTTTTTTTTAATAATATCAAGTGAAGGGACGAACAAGTCGTGCGCCTGATGGTAAGCTACAGGCCTGTCCATAACAGTTGCAGTGCCACTCAGAGCTTCAAATCGCAAAGATCTGAGGGGCACCCTGAGACATAAGTTGACAAGTCCCATGTGCCTATATTTCACCAAAATCGCGTATATTTGTTTGTTTTTTCAATCAAAGCAACGTTTCAAGCCCATAATAGGTCCCGTGGTTTCAGATTCGAAAAATATAATTTTATTTCCAATGAACAAGAGGAATTTCCAAAGCTGTAAAAGGCCCGATACGTTAGTTTGTTCGAAAAAACAAAATATATGGGATTTCAATCCGAAAAAAATTGTATCATTTCCTGTGCATAAAAATCACGAAAACCTAAGAAAGGGAAGTATTTTTAAATGAATTTAGTTAAGAGTGTAGTTGCATAGCGGACATTTACTTAAATTTATGTTCACGACAGTTTACATAGGTACTGTATTTATATCAATATACATTATTGTCCTTTGTATGTACCCTAGCCCTAAGCCCTATGTATCTTTTTAAGTAAGTTGATTACAAGTCATTTTACACAAATTAGTAATACATAAAACTTTATTTTATTTCATTAAGTTTGTTTTGTTATTATGTATCATCTGTTATTAAAGTAATGTTAACAAAAATGAAAAGTAAGTATATTCACACTTACCTAATATTGATTAGGTATACTTTTGATTAGGTTCTTTAAACTTGTGCGTGACAAAAGAAAATAAGTCATGGAGAAAAAGTCACATTTTCATTCTTATTCCGTTCATATGACAAAATTAAATGTTCAATATTCTGTTTCGGTAGGTTGTTTAAACGTCTAATTTGTAACACAAATACGTAATGTAGAACAAATAAAACTCATAAAACGACTTCCTTCTTTACAGCAATGAGTTCAATGTTTTTTTTCTAATTCAAAATGTACCAAGTATCATCTATAGTACCGCAGATCAAACAAATACTAATAGTACTCACGACAATCACAGGTAAACAACACCGCTAACAACGACGTCACACGCATTAAACACCTGAACATCGTAATGATTTTATCTCACTCATATAATGTCTATTTCTTTAGTACAACACCTCGTTCCACTATAGTGACCCAATGGAAACTGCATTAATTTGCTACACACTGAGACGAGCCAACTACTCAAATCGTTTACATTGACACTTTTATTGATTAGGTCTTCTGTGCAGATTTCTTTGCAGGCACATTGTAATTTACAAACAGGTTGATCAAAGTGTGATCGGAATAAGCGATTTTGCCTTCGCAGTCGCAGCGGAGCGGTGGGTGCGACTCGTTTACCGGCTGGTTTCGGCAAATCGAGTTTTTGTTATCCATAAAATTAACATTAAAGATTATTTTTGTTCCATTAGAAGATTTAATTCTATATATGTGGCAGCATGTTCGATGTGACGCAGGGCAATGGCGACGGTAGCCGCAATATTGACTGAGTCATTATCATTCCAGTTCCGCGGGAAAATACGATGTATGACTCGCACGCGCTTGCGCACCTCAATGCACTTTTGCTTGCAATCTGTCTTTCTCTTACAGATACAAAACATTTAACTAAATCACTCATCATATACCACTATTTATGAGACCAAGTAATTCCTGATTACAAGCTATGACCTGCACAGATTGGATGTTTATACGATACTGTTAAAAAACAAACAAATGTTTTGAATTAAAAATGGTTCTTATCATGTTGAGAAAGATTAGAATTGGTATACGTTTAATGGCTTGTTGTTAACGCAAATGTAAATTGGCGTACCTAGTGATCGCTAGTGGTGGCTGATCAAACAGTCTGCATAACGAATTGTTTAACAACGCTCGCACTTGCATCTCGCAAACGAAAGAACATCCAAAAACAGTCATGCACTTTCTTTCTCATAAGCACAACCTATCACAAAAACATTTAAAGAAAATAAAAAATATAAATGGCCTCTCTTTTGCATTGGAGTGCATTTCTCATCACAGTTTTAGTACGCCACGGTAGCACTGGTAAGTTAATGAAATTATTTTCACTGAAATTAAATAATGCAGTTGCGATATCGTTCACATTTTCCACTTTTGATATTGAAATGTGTATTTATTATTTTCAATGAAAAGAAAATTGAACTAAAATAAACCACTCATTCGTACATGAATCCTTGTTGATCTCTAACCTTGATTTTTTTCTTATTCTATAAACCTATCGTCTTCTAATTTCAATTGTTAGTCTCCCACGATGTTGTTGATCTCGTCTTCCTGCCTTAGATTGCAAGTACCTACTTCTGTTTACTGATCACACTTGTAAGGCCAGGTATTAGAGTATTTATTTGATCCACCTGCCATCCCATCTACGAATCTGTAGCCTGCTCATACCCACTTCATTACGAGTACTTCGATTATTATTTACTTTTTTGTTTATTTATTATTTAGATTAGTTTATATATTATTATTTAGCTTATTTATTATTTAGTTTAGCAACTACCTCCGTGACCGAACGGTTACCATGCCGGACTGCCACGCAGAGATCCCAGGTTCGATTCCCGGACAGGGAGAAATATTTGTATGGCCTACATTTAGTTCTCTCGTGAGTTTCGGTGTAATTTGTGGTTTTCTGTGTGTGTGTGTCCATGGCACCCTCGACACAGGATTTTCCTAGTGCGGGACTATGTTGAGTGTGTGCGTTAAGTTGAATGTTTGTTGAGTGTGTGCGTAGTTTGAAAATGTTCGCCAAATTATAAATTATATAAAATAAATACTAAGAAAGATAAGATCAGTAATTCGATACTTTAGTTAAAAATAGTTTCAGGCTTCTGCACAACTCCACAACAAAGATATGCAATGTTCCAAAATTTAGCGAGTTGCTTCCATAAAGGAATTTTGTGGCAGTGCTTGCGTGAAATGGCGAATGCACCACCGTGCCCCGAACCATTCACTCCCGGTTTGTAGGGGGCTTTTAATATTGCGAAATGTTCTATTGAAAAAGTGTGAGACTTTGTGTGATTTGCAATGACCTCTCGCTGACTTATAAAAACTAATATTGATTTTTATTGAATATCATAATGTTTTACTACCATGACATTCATTTATTATTTGTGTTTCTTCTCTAGTTTGTTATAATTATTGATACAAAGATCGTACACAAAGAAAAATTCCTTCGATCTGACAGGACTCGAGTCTGCGTCTGTATGACAAACTAGGGCCATGAGCGAGAAGCTTTATAGATCTCTCACAGGAGTCGCTTACGGCGCTGGCAATAAAACTCGGAAACATCCAATAAAAAAATATCTGTAACAAACACTAAAGTGTGAAATATGCAGAGAGCGGGTTGCGGGTCGGGCGCGTGTCGGGTCGGGACCGCGGTCAGCGTGTTATCGTCCTTAAAAATTCACAGAATTAAACCCGTCGCGGTCCCGACCCGACACGCGCCCGTCCCGCACCCGCTCTCTGTGTGTTTCACATTTTAGAGAAATTCTATTGTCGCGATCTGCAACTAGGGTGATAGGTGGCACTAGTTTGGTATACAGACGCAGGTTCAAGTCCTGTTAGATTGAAGGAAATTATCTTTGTGTTCGATCTTTGTGTTAATAGTTATAAAAACGAATTTTTAAATAAACTAACTTTACTATAGGTCCGGGTTGAAGATATTATCGTCATGGAAGAAAAAGGTGTTATACATTAGGGTTCGGGTTATTTTTAGAGGGGCTTAACGTTATTTCTAAAATATACTCGAAATGAATTCAACGACTTTTATTCTGTAACTTTTGAAACTCTCAAATAAATTAAAGCTGACTAACAAACAGCTATCTATTTGACTAACTTTTTAATTGTCGAATAACCTGGTTTTTGTGCCTCATTTATACATATAAGATTATATATTCTAGTTAGTTTTTAAACTGTAACCGTTAAAATTTATCAGTGAGCAAATGGGATGCTGTAAAAAATCATCCCGCCTGGCGCATCCTGTCAAATTATGATTGTGGAGATAGTGCTGCCGATCGGATCATAGGAGGTTTCGATGCGGCACTGGGCCAATTCCCATGGATCGTTCGACTTGGGTATATTTGTTAGTATGCACTCTTTTTACTAATTAGTCTAGTGTCTAACCGAATACATCTTTCTATCTTATTTTTTAACCGACTTCAAAAAAGGAGGAGGTTCTCAATTCGACTGTATGACACAAAGATGACACGACATGCTTTTTAACTACATAAATCAATATAATACTACACCGGTATACCAACAATTGGCCTAGCATGACCGGACGCGACTTGCGCGAGAGCGACATAAAGCATGAGACATTGATGTAGGACTAACGCGATAAGGCGCAACTTGTACGAGAGCGACATAAAGCGTGAGACACTGCTGTAGGACTAACGCGATAAGGCGCAACTTGTACAAGAGTGACATAAAGCGCGAGACACTGCTGTAGGGCTAGCACGATAAGGCGCGATTTGCGCGAGAGCGACATAAAGCGCGAGACACTGCTGTAGGGCTGGCGCGATAAGGCGCGACCTGCGCGAGAGCGACATAAAGCGCGAGGTCTTTATGCAAGAGTAGCAGTATTTCGGGCTATTGTCGTGCTAGCTCTACTGTTCTCGCATAGAGATCTCGCGCAAGACACGCCCTGTCGTGCTTAGCGCTACAAGGAGTTACCTTAACGCGTGTAGGTAAAGTAAAATGATTTTGTTATATAGCACAGGAGGACAATGAAACAGACTTCAAATGCGGCGCAGCGTTACTCACAGACCGCCACGTCGTCACCGCCGCTCACTGCTTGACTAACAAGGACGAGGAAAGCCAGCTGTAAGGTTTAAAATACTTGTTGGTAAAGTATGTATAAGAGAAGTGTTATTCAAAAATTGTTACTCAATACTTAAAATAAATAAACAAATTGTTAAACAAATTATAAGTAAGTAGTTGCCACGAAACGTAAGTTCCTTGACGATTCGCTTTCTTAGTGTTGCCCAATGCAAGATCATGACGAGACCTACCTCAGACTTGGTCTTGGTATTACACTCAGCCTTAGTCTGGGTCTCGGTCTTGCTGCAAAAGTCGCGCAAGTCTTGCAATTACCTACAGTTACTTATCAAAACTATCCTATGATATAATAGCAAAAGTGAGCACAAGGGTTGGCTCAGATTTTTACAGCAACGCAATAGAATTCGTACAATTTGAGTACATATTGATATAGGCCAACCGAATGACAAATAATTCGCTTTACAATATTTTTACGATTGGTTGGTTATAATTTTAGGCAAATATACGTTAACACCATAAAAAAGATTAATAAATAATACTAGTTAACGAACATAGGGAGCACCGTGCCTAGCATGCACCCACGCCGTTTCGTCACTTCATTTTTCGATTTTCGGTGTACGCTATTGGTGATAATTAGCTGCTTCGCTAATATTCTTTTTTTTTTTCTACACTTTTATCGCAATTACATATTATTTTTGTCTAAAAAATTACTTTCTACAAAATGTAGGATTATAGACACTAAAGTTTTTCAAGTTATAACAACCAACCAGCTTTGTTGCAGGGAGCATTTATCGATATCGATCTGAAAGCAATGCCTCAATACCTAACGTCCATCTCTGAGTTTGGCGTAACTTGCAAAGACTTGCGTCTCGCAGATTCGGTCTTTGTTCAGTTGTTCTTGCTCAATCTTGAATCATTTTATACCGGTTCATTCAAACCTCACCGATTCATTCGAACTCATTTGACCCCAATGTTGAGTCGTGGTTTCACATTATGTATAGGTGGGTAGGTACTAAGGTAGTAATATGTATGACGCGATCGCTCAAAATTTTAATTTAAGTAAAATAGAAAAAGTAAATTATCTGTAGGTAGAAAGAATTCATTAATACGAAAAGAGCGAAATTTCAACCCGCACAAATTCTATAAAAATATATAATGTCGACTAAATTTGAAAACCTCGTCGCTCTGTTTTTCCACAAAATCCTTTTTTTGCGGGAAATTTAAGCTTTAAATATAATTTCTAAGACTCTTTTTTAGTTCTAAAATAATCATAGATTGTCATAATTAATTATTTTTTCTAGTAATTCTGTTATTTGTGCCTACTCAAAAGATCACTTGAATGGAGGTACGAATTTAGGAGTAGTTATATTTTTTTACTACAATCGAACACAGGAACTGGGTCCTGTGGTACTTCACCTCTTGGCTTCTACAGAACATTTCCGAATATCCTGATGATATTTCTACTCTATTGTTTTTTTAATAGAACTTCAGTGAGATTAGGTGAACACGACATACGGACAAACCCTGATTGCCAGCTGCGAGTGTGTGCTCCGAAGGTACAAGACAGGAACATCAAAATTAGTAAGAGGCATCCGCAGTTTGATAAGCCTCCATTTCACAACGATATTGCCATTCTAGAGCTGGAGTTTCCCGTGGAAATTAATAGTAAGTAACTTTTCATTATTAACCAAAGAATGATCTACCACAGGGAGACGAGTCGGGGGAATAGAAGGCCTGTGGCCATATATAAAATAATGTATAATGATTTGTGAATTATTATAATTTTAAAAAACCGACCTCAAAAGTATGCTTATCCGCTTTCGCTGTGTTCGTTACCGTGATCTCCTCAACAATAACCCCAAACACAAGGTAGTTGCTGTGCACTGGAAAGTGCGCAAACCCCGAATTCATCCCCTAGTTCGCCACTATAATGGACTTGACATAGGAGATAATAAAAATCGGTTCTCACTACTCAAAGTATACTGAGAGAGAAAAACGCCTTGATAGGGAGAATAGCAAAATCAACCATTAAAATAATTGCTCCTTATAATAAGATTTAGGCGCTATTTATAAAAATGAATCTTCATGCGTGAACAGCCACCCTCAGAGGTTGATGATTTTCTTCAAAATTAAATGGGACCGCTATGGAGGTATCCTCTTTCCAACAAAAAATAATCATGAAAATCGGTTCACCAATACCGAAGTTATCGCGTAACATACATACAAAAAAACTACAGTCGAATTGAGAACCTCCTCCTTTTTTTAAGTCGTTTAAAAATATTCAGAATTGATTATATTTGTTTTTTAAAACAAACCCACGTTTCGGTACCTTTAACGGTCCCGTGGTCACCGCTGACTGAGATGAGAAAGTCATGAACCAGTTATATCTAATATTAATGCTTACCGCGCAGATTTATTTAATAAAAATACTTACATGAAGTTCTTTTACTTTACGTGTTAAAAACATAATATATATAATTTAGAATATTATCCACATTCAATTAAAAGGCATGTTCAGGCGTGCTAATTTAGTCTTCTAATAAATATGAAGGGAGTTAAAATTTCTAGGAACTTTTCGTTTTATGAATATTCAGGACTTCTTATTTTACCTGTCATCTTAATAAACAAGAATTGAACATAAATCGACGTGTTTGTTAAGCGGATATAAATTGTATAGTCTAACAGGACAAAAATATCGTCAAACAAAATTAAAGAAAAATAACTTATTTATGATTGTGAAGAAAATCTTTCATAGATTTCTCACAGATGGCGCTACGGCAAAAACCAAAACAAAGATCTGCAAAAAGCACATGAAAAAATTCGTGAAGTACGTTAGTTCCTTCCGTGGTGGCTTAATTGGTATAGCGTCAGTCACGGTTTACTAGTAGACGTTGGTTCGAATCCAACCGTAAGAAGTGATTTTTTTCTAAGGTTCGATCTTTGTATTATAACAAACTAGTGGAATAATTTCACAAAATATAATTTAATGTCATGGTGGTGAAACATCCTAACATTCGATAAAATTTAATTACAAATAACTTATTTTGTTATCTTTGACTACACGGATTGAACTGAACCTTACGCTAAACATATATTGCATATTTTAGATTACGTGACCCCAATATGTTTACCGCGTGAGGAGCAGATAAAAGACCGGTTTCAGCAAGGAGAACTACTGACTGTGGCCGGATGGGGCACCACAAACATGTCAACTGAAGAACGAGCTGACATTCTGCAGTATGTGGGAGTGGGTACCTACTGTAATTTATTATTTCTGGATGCTTTTTTATGTAGAAGAATCATAGAGTATTTTTTTAGGCGAGACTGACCCACTAACCTTAAATACATATCCATTTGTCTGACTGTGAGAAATGAAAAAAGATTCAAAGGTATTTAGAGTTCCACGTTTCATTTTTTTCTATTGAAGCATCATACCAGTTTCTTAACTTTAGTAATGATAACTAAGTATAGTAGTTGAAAATGAGAGTAGTTATTTGCAATGACACTATTGTTTCAGATCTAAATAAAGTTGTTTTTTCGAACAAACCTTGATTTTGAGCTCCTTACAAGTAGGTGCCATGGTCACGGATGACATCAAATATACGCGTTCTCATAAATGTACTATGCCGCTAGTATTTATGCCTCTTTCTCAAAGACAGATTGTAAATTGCTCTAACTGCACGTTTTAGGATATGTGCACATTATAAGTGTTCAACACGCGTTAGGTTTTTGAATAGTGTACACATGGCGGGTGCTTTTCGGACTTTGAGCCCGCGCTGCCACAGTTTCGGTGCAAATTCGGCATTAAGCACTCGAAGATGGACGTGGGAACAAACAGCTATGTGGTTATGGATTTTATATCGAAGACGGAGACAGCAACGCAACAGGGGACGAAAATATTGGGTTATCCTATTTTATTATCCAAATCCAACCTCAGTGAAAGTCACTTCATAACTTTGTATCCTAAACTCAGACTATATGAACCCAAATACAACAAGTACAGAATTCGGTAAGTGGTAAGCGCGCGTTAGCGAAACGCCCGTTGAATGCTCATGTGAACATGCTCTTAGTAGGACAAAGATTCTATTGATGTCAGCGGCATTACCCTAAAGCAAAATATCGTTACGATTTAGGTCCTGTCCAATGTGTAGCAAAAACCTAGGAACTCAAAAGTAGTTTTTATTTCTTTCTGAGCTCTGATATTTGCGGTAATTATGTAAGTCTACTTTTACGAGTGTCCGATGAGTTTTTGATGTTCTATCTTCATAAATATTTATTCAAGTTACCCGTGGTAAAACCGGAAGCATGCAATACATTTCAAACCTTCGGATGGGGGTTCAACGTAACCGAATCAGAAATTTGTGCTGGTACAGAACACAACAAGGATGCTTGCAAAGGTGATTCTGGAGGACCTTTAATGAAGGTAAGGCCTTAAAATGTAACCGCTCTTATAATTTGGAACAACGTACTAGATAAAACCCAATAAGTGTATGAGTTCTTTCATTTTTTCAACTCATTATAGTATACCTTTCAAGCACTTCACCATCGTCAAGCCATTTATATACGTCCCACTGCAGGGCTCGGGTCTTCTCTCAGGCGAGATTTTAGGCCATAGTCCGCCACACTGGCCCAATGTGGATTGGGGACTTCACACGCGTTTTCCGAGTGTTGTGAACTTTCTTCGACATGCAACCTTTCACCGAAAAACTCATGGAAAATTTCAAATTAATTTCGCGCATAAATTTCGAGAACCTCTGAGGCCCGAATGCGAACCCGCGGCCTCTGTTTGAGAAGCGGTAGGCCAAACCTTGTTATTGTAATTAATATATATTAGGGTGTTAGGTAGATTCTGGAGAATCTTTAATGAAGGTATGAACTAAAGAGTAAAGGTACGAGATAGAACCCAATAAGTGTATGAGTTTTCGTAAAAAGAGTTTTCCAATTCCTAGTACGCCTTTCTTGCAGAAGTATCTATTATTACCACACTTATAACTAAGTTCTGAGTCAAGCACACAAGCACACACGCACACCCGCACCTACACATACTTGTTCTTTTGTACTTTTGCTAAACAATATCATCTTTATTAATTTAAAACCTTTGCTCTTATGTAGTACCAATGCCCAATTATGTTTTGTAATTTTTACTAAAATAGCTCAAATGACGTGGCCGGACACTAATTTCAAAGATACGTAATTCGATACAGACTTGCGCCTAGTTTTGAAGATCATAGTTCAACAATCAATTTGTACATTGGCTTACTTACTTTTATGTACAATCTATGGTACTTGTTTATGTCTGTACAAATCTTTTTTTTGTAAATAAAAAAGTCATTCTTATTATGTATCACACTCATAAATCTGCTTATCGTTGTCCACCACAGAAAAAAGCAAGAAAGTAACTTATAACGAGTTATATAACTGATTTTACAAAAATTCACACACGCATTGGGTTTTGCCTCTGACCCCTTGATATCCGCAGTTTGTTATTTTAGATCTACTTATTAACTCTACTTATTCTATCTACTTATCTACTACTACTAATATCTACTTTTTTAAATAAAATATAAGTGCGCATTTGACCACCATCTCACCTGATGTAAAGTAACGATGAAGTCGACGATGGAGCATTACCTAAGTAATGTCTATTCTCTCTCGCCTTGAAAAGACCCAAGTTATAACGTTCAGGGAACAAGTTTGCAAGCAGGGAAATCCACTACATAGCCGTTCGCCATATAATGTGGAGGCGTAACGCTTCGTGCGAATCTTTGGAATATCCACAACATAGGGGTGGAACCCAAGCCTACGCCTAGTCCCCCGGTGATAAAAAGTGGAGGTGGAATTAAATCGTGTAATTCCATCGCACACTCTCCGTGATATATCCTGTAAAATACCGACAAGCAGGCAATTTTACGGCGGTGTTCAAGGCTCTGCAGCTTCGCCTCCACTAATTCCGATCACCTATAAGCCTCTTGGCACAGTTGTCAATTGAATCCAAAGTGGCCAGTTGATATGTAGCAGAGCCATTGCAAACGTGGCAGCAGTACTCCATGCACGATCGGACTTGTGCTTGGTACAGCTGAAGCAACTGTCCCGGTGTAAAGTAACGCCTCACCCTGGAAAGGATCCCAAGCTTCCTTGCTGCATTGGCCACGAATTCAATGTATCTGCCGAAGTTCAAATTGGACGACAGGTCCATTCCAAGTAGCTGGAGACAGTCGGCTATCGGTATGGATATATCACGAAAAGTCGGATTCAGCTCAATGGGACTCCGTTTTGTGGAGAATAGATACGCGTTAAATTTGACAAGATTGGCATTGCCCCAATCGGAGACTGCCTAGAGTGTCAAATCTCAACGGCTAACCATGGACTCTCTGGATTTCAAGACTGGATTTCCTCTCCACTGACCCTTGCATTGGTTAAGTACCTATCTACAATTGTGATGTCATTAGCATACGCAAATGTACCTGGAATTAACATATCATTGATATGCAGCAGAAAGAGTGTTGCAGATAGTACTGAACCCTGAGGATCTCTGGCATCTATCGCCATATGTTCGGAAGAGTAGCCTTCTAAGACCACTCGAATCGAACGTTCACTCAAGAAATCCGAGATCCAATAGCAAAGGCCGTTGGGAAGCCCATAAGAGGGAAGCTTACTTAAAAGGCTTGCGTGCACCCTTTCAAAGACTTTAGAAATGTCCAAAGACACTGCAAGTGCTTCGCCTTGCTTTTCTATAGCCTCGCTCATATATATATATGATATAATATATATATATATATATATATATATATATATATATATATATATATATATATATATAGATATATG